ACTGGACGAAAATTATGGTTGTACGGCAGTGAAGCATCAGTGGCAGCACTGACGTTGCTGTCTTTGATGATGACAATGATGATGCCTAAAGTTGTGCGTCCTCTTAAAGCAGCTCTGAATAGCCGGAAGATTGCGAATACAAGCGTCATCAGGTATGGTGCGTGGACGTAACACACATACATGTACTAAGGGGGCCGTCCCCGACTTTAAAGAAAACGATTAAGCGGTGGTCTGTCCGACTTAGAGGAAAACGTACGGTTTTGTATTATTCGACACTTTCTCTTGGAAACGAACAAAACACATCCAATGATCCTTTCTGCTGATTAGAATCGTGTATAACATCATGGTAACTGGAAAACTTAATATTCCACCCCTGTTAGATTCTCTTCGTGCCAAGCCTGTAGGCAATCGATCTCTCTAGGGTAAAAATGGCTTAGTTGACCCTAAACAGAGTTTCTTGTACGAAGAGAGCATTGTATCGCTCGTCAGCTCTTGCGTTATCTGATAACTGAAACTTGGTGCCTTTCGCTTCACCTAACAAGTGAGTGAGGTCAGTGCCACAAATGAAACCGTCAACGACTGAATGGCGCACACAATTGGTCTCAGACAGTCTACGTTTGATCTCAACGTGTTGAAGGTAGTGTGATCTCTTACCGCGTATGCAGCTTCTGATAGTGTATGTTGTTGTAATCGCAACCGACCAATCACACATAATCGAGCTCTTGACGCTAGTGAGATGTCATCCTGGATTCAATTAATCTGGGACTTCGTTTTAAACAAATTTTGAATGGTCTCCTTTGAAGTTTCTAAGTCTGTGCTGACCGAACGTCATTGGTTAAGCTTTTGGTTTGCAAGATCCTTCCCTGTAACGTACAAGAATAGTCCAGTGACTTGGTGTGACCAGGAAATTTGAAGTTGATTGCTGGATTCCTGGCTTACCACAACGATAACTTTGTCTCACAGAGCCGAGTGTCTGGCTGGGGTAAGTTTGGTGCACGAGTTCATCAACCTTTCGAGTAAGTGTTTGCTCTTGCAACCATGTGCCCGGAGAGGACGTGCGGCTTTCCAGTCAATGTGGCGAACTACTGTGGTTTTATAGAGGTGCTTATAGTGTGTATTCAGAGATATGAACCGGCTTTCTGATACTAAACATACTGTACTGGCACGCTCAGAGAACGACGGTATTTTGCGCACAAATATATGCGTACAGAAGGGCCCAACTAATGCATAAACGAAAGCGTGGACGTACTTGGCCACACATAATCGTTCTTTTACTCTCAAGCTTGCTGGCTGGACCCACAGTGCAGGAGAATGGGTCCAACTGAGCAGAAAACTGCCTTGCAATAGATGGCCTTCGTCAACAACACAAGTACATAATCCTTTTCTGTTAGTGTTTTCGCCTTCGTGGCTGAGCTAAAATGGTTACCATATGTCATTCCGTCCCGTCCAACCCATTCCGCTCATACCTACCTGAATGTCCGATGAGCCTGTGAAGTGAGCTTACCCTGGTCTGACTGTTTCCCGCATTTAATTTCTCCTCGTCAAGACATTGCCGGAAATGGACCAGTCGTGCCTTTAATGGCGTTCGTGCATCCAAGCTATTGCCTTCAATGCATAGCTCCCTTTCCAATCTCCTCACTTAAAAGTCCACTGGCGACCATCTATTTATGCATCGATTATGCCAACTTCAGCCTCCAATGCGCAGCTATTCACCTCACCTCCCCGCCTCATCGGTGGACGAAACGTTCGAAAAGTACGCGGTTCTTAAAGCTGATAATTATAAGAATGATGGTGATGTCGAGCACGCTGCATTATCAATCACCGTCTTTAGTCACCTAATAAAATTTGCACACATGTCTTACCGGCCGAGCACTATCTCGTCCTTAAACCGTCCTTCCAAGCACTAAGGCAGAGCCACGTGTTCTCATGTTCACACACGGCTGCGCCCCCAAGGTATGTGCCTGTAAAAATTCATATGGCGAAGCAATGCACTGAACCACCTCAAGAGTGTATGCATTAGCTTTTTTTGGGTTCACCCATGTCAACTATGGAACGTTTATACATCTGTATTTTCCGAGTGAAGTAGTCCTATGTTCTCTGCGTTTAAGTTCTTGGAATGATGTAATGGCCAAACCTTCAGAATTAGAACACTAAGTGCCTCAAGGGTAGCGAACGTCACTTGCTGTCGGTAGAGACCTATGTCACACACTAAAGCGCTGGCACACGTAACAGGCATGTGTTCATACTCCAAGATTCTTTTCGATTCAGCAACCGGACTGTACGACATCTCGAACATCCAGAATCTGGATTTCCACAAGGTCCAAAGTAGTCGACCTTTTAGTGTATACTCGAGCCACGTACTCATTGTCATGGTTCATGTTCCAAACGAGCATTAAAATCTGTAACTTGCGCCTGGTAGCCCAATCATATATCCGCGCACGCTAGTAGTCCGTGAAAATCTCGTGTAAACGGAATCCTTCATCCGGTCCATCATCCCTTTAGTTTATGGTCTACACAACTCGAACAGTATCTCATTTGCTTTCCAAGAGAGTAATTATATATACATATACCAGATTGACGTTTTCTGAAAATTCTGGCCAAGGTTGTTATATTGAAAATGATATCTCTGTTATGCATAAATATATTGGTCGTTATACATTCACAGCCGTTATTCGACTAATAGCCAAATATCTCAGAAATAGTGGCGTTGTGTTTCCCTTATACGTATTCGTACGCTTCCTTGGTGAGAAACTTGCGTGGAAAGATGCGTGCAAAGAAATGGGGCCGAAATTTTTGTGAATTAAAAATGTCACACCAGCAACGACACTTCCACTTCGCTTTGTGGATTCCTTGTGTTTCAAGCTCATGCCAGTTTGACAGGTTTTCCATTCGGAAAAAAAGTTGCACAACGTGTAATGACGGTAGGAGATTGATGTTTGCCTAATGAAAGTTTAGAGTACCTATTTTCCATATTGAGTGCATTGGTTTTTGGACGGTTAAATTTGAAGATCCAGATATCCCATAGCGGTGCATGAGACTTGTCCGATGAATTTTACTTAATCTTGGAAGGTGCTAAAGTTTGAGACACACGTTTTGTTAGGACGGAATGAAACAAATGCAACCTGCTGTCCAATGAGTTCCAAATATGGCCAGCGTGAGTGCGTCCGTAAACCTTGGATTCGTGAAAAGAGTAATAGTCTCACGTTCGAAACAGAAACCGACCGTTTCTAATGTCCGCACCGCAAAGATTTTCACGTATGAAAACCAAGGCAACTCATTGGGAAATGTTACACTTGGTGCGAAGAGTGAGAAAGAAGCTTTAATGGCCGGCCAGCACATCGTCTTCGTAGGTGCGAAAGTTTGGTTTAGGGCTTCCAGTCTCATGCACTGCGCAGAGTAACTGCATTGGGACCGGGGATGACCTGTTACAAGAGAACTATGGATAATACTTCAATAAATCCCGCGCTGCCTGTGCCTGATTTTTGCAAGATTCTGTGTAAAGTTTCGTAGGAAGCTTTGTGACCATTCTTCGCACTCCTGAGGAACGTCGTGGCCTATGCTTCGTTGGTTGTAACGTCATCGAGTGCCAAGTAGATACATCGGACAGATCATATCCTCTACATACAGTTACCTGGTATCGGTAACCAAGTATAATTGGTTGGATGAATGGTTCATCCTATGCGTCCACCTTAAATATCGTCATAAGTGATGCTGATATGCGAAGCCCGTGTGCTTGGCTATACGAACTCATTTCAGTCATGACCTGCATTATACAGGACTGTTTTTAGTCGACTCCCGACATGTCTTTCTACTCTCCATAATCACCCCTATTCCCAATCGCCATTTGAGTATTATTCAAGACAACTCTACAGTCTTTCCGTACTTCTGTTTATCTATCTCAGGCTATTCGGCTCCTGTGTGATCGGCGCTAGATTCGCTTGCCTGACTGAGGTAGGTCAACTCACCGTTTGTGCGTATTTCCTTCTCAAGTTTCTAAGTCATGCTCGATTATCCGGAATCCATCGTGTCCCGGCCTTGAACTTCATTTTCTTGTTCCCGTTATCGAGCTCCCTTGTTGCCGATGCTGCTTCCCAACCTGTCTTCCACATCAAACAGGACTGATCGTAGCAGACTATTAAATTGGGAATCTCTTGCTACTTTCAGGCGTTTGGGATGATTTCATTTTTGCACACTGGTATGGATGCATAGTTCGCTCTTTCTCAAGCTCACAACTAGTAAACTTGAATCTGGTTCCCTTGAAGGTAACTAGTTATAGGTATGCTACGAATTCTTCGATAGCCCGCGACTGATTTTCCCCTTCCTAAGCCCCATCGGCTGGGTGTAGTCTCCGAGTTCCTGTCAACCTTATGAGCCAGTCCTTGTGCAGCACATTTATTCGAAGAGCTTCGTTCAATTCAGGTCCAAGTAGAATATAAATTTACGGAAACTCAGGACTGCGCCTAACTGATGAGCCCCGAGAAGGGTGCAACCGGTGGTCGGCTGTCAGAGAGTATTCACCAACCTTATGAGTGGTCCCCTTAAAAAAAAATTTACTGCGATATTTCAAATGTCTTACTTGCTGAAACATGAAGCGGCTTTTATAAAGTGTATTCAGTTAAGGAATGTTGTAAACGAGAGATCTAGCCGGGATTCAGCGGTCTCCCGTTAAGAGCATATTGGTGTGCAAATCTGGTTTTATATTGGAGTCATTGACTGCCATATGTTTCCAAGTTGGATAGGTATCTGTTACTTGTGGGTCGTTAAAGTCCAACTACTCATTCTCCTCAACGAAAGAAACCCCCCACGATCTTTAAACTGATTGGGCTGGCTACTATGCATGTAAGACAATCATATATCATGCAGAGCCGTTTTGCCCAGCAGTATGTAGAATGGAAACGACCTGGGTAATAAGTTTCACGAATCCTGATCCTGACGTATTGTGATTGACGACTTTCTCCCTGGAACCCTGAAACCCCGGCGAGCATGCCTCACGACTATTTGCACTCATGCATTGAAGTTATCGTTTTCGACGCCTGGTCGTTTCGATTTGTACGCCGGAATGCGTGATTTCCGTAAGCTCGTTTGCCCACCGTATTCAGTGCATCGCTGTTCTTCCGTCATCCCTTGGTCGCTCGAACTTAGATGGAACGTGCTTGGGTACGAAGTTTGAGGCTCGCAAACAAAACTGTGCTGGTCAGTGCTTGGTCTGTACTTCGAAGATCCACTTTTCATTCCGCTGGTTCTTATCCTTAGTTTTGTTTCTATTTTGGGTCACACTTCCCCATCTAGTTTGCGCTTTTACAGTTCAATACCAGTTTGTGCATCGCTACCAATAGTTCCACTGAAACCTTAAAGTGTTGTTGTGGACGGACCTGTTCTTTCTACCACGCGAACGGAACAAAATTTTAAACTGAATACCTAACCTATTGGCTTGTTATTTCCGGAACTTAAAAGGTTGATACGTCGATAGCCGTGGGGAAACATTTAGCCTCCCTAACGCCAGTGCTTTTCTTCAGTGTGGTCGTTCCTCTTCAAAAGAACAAGGCAGACTTACTATATTCCTCGCGGTTTGTTGTAGGACAGAGAGAGTTTCCATAGTTCGGAACCCGGTTTGTAGGGTACGTGTCCAAATCATTGTAGTTGACGCTACTCGATCAGTTTAGGGAGACGTAAGACGTGAGGGCAGTGCTCACTGATATCACTACATATATTTTTGTTTATTTTATTTGCTTTTATCCAATCAACCTATGTGGGGAGATTAGGCTGGATGATATCGGAGATAAGATTACGGATACCAATAGCAAACGTTTACCTATCCACTGTAAGCTGTTTTCGAACTGTTGTAAGGACTCAAGGGCTATCCCTGGCAATGGGCCACGAAGGCGCCGATTGTGAAACTCAACCACTTGTGATGTTTTCTCGTATGGTGACCAAACGTCTGCAAACCAACTGCCAAGCTCGGAAACAGATCGTGAAATAAAATGTAACCGTTCAGCCGTAACACTCTATCGGTGCCTAGTTGCCATGCCACACAAGATGAGTCAGGGGCTGGGGTGCTGCCGCATTGCCCAAGGCTAGATAGGAGCAGTCGAGATGTTGGTGTCGGGTTCGAACCACAGACCTTCCGGTCATTAAGTTGACGCCCTAACCCCTGAGCTATCTCTAGCTCATCTATTTCTTAGTGGCAGTCCAATAACGTCCTTTGGATGAGTTACATTTGTTGTCATCATGGTGTTTCACAGCCATTCTCAGTTTCGTTTTCCTATTTCTAGTTTGTCAATGGTGGCTCACTAGCTGACCTGCTCAGTGCAAAAGGAATGGACCTGCCCTGGCTGCTTCGATCAAGTCTGGCTCTGGATATCGCCAATGGTCTTCATCATTTGCACTGCAATAACCTTATCCACCGAGATTTGTCTTCGGCGGTAAGTAGAGAGATTCGTTGTGAGTATGTCGAAATATTGCTAGCTCGGGTGCGTTCACTGGTCGTTGATCTGTTCATCGACCCTGGTAGTTGACTTGAAATCGTTTCACCCCTAGTCGTGTAGACGTCGTCAGTGTTCGGTTGAGTGGGTCACTCAGCTCACTCGAAATGGTACCTTATCACGCAGTCCACTTTATTTTGACGTAAAGCAATTTTTTCTGAGCTTAGGATGTAAAATTTGCTGCTTAAATATCTGTGCAACCCAGCAACCAGGTGAATTTCAGGTTAGGGACAGCACCGCGCATCTCAAAGTCAAATCAAAGGGTTCATCTGTGATGTCCTTTCGATGGGTACACTGCGACCGGAAGAACGAATGAAAGTTCAGAGATTGTGGGGTTTAGCGATTGTGTGAAACGAACCCTCGCGTTCTAGCAATAAAATGACCGCAGACTGCATTGCGGTAATGATACTTTTGAAACTATATGACTTGAATCTTAAAAATTACTTTGTGACATTCAATTGTGAGGTGTTCGTAATACGTGGGTAGAACTTCATTCTAACCCGTTTCGGTTTGCAGGCGGGAAAAGTTGTTCTACCACTGTAATGGTGATACTACTGATGGGGGGGGCACGCGAGTAGTATGTGTTGTTCGTAGAATTTCGCTTTTCGTCTATTGAAAAAGGGAGATCTGTTGCGGAATTCGTGGAGCCACTTTGTAACATTTGCTTGGATTTAACCGACGAATGAGTGGAGTCAATGAATCTCCAGGAAATTTCAAGGAAACTCTTCCGGGAGAAGATGGGTATCCAGTTTTCGTATCTAAGATGCAAATTAGAGTTTTGCTTCCCGGTTCAGTGGTCTGTAACCGGTCAGTTGGCATTTCCTAATAAATAACTCCGCAGCGAAGGCCTTTTCCCTTTCACCACGACTGACCGTTGTTACTTGTCACTACAATACGGCGTGAAAGTTCCCTTGAAGATAAAGTTTAACCATCCTTCGAAATATCGCGGCTATCGTTCCTTAAGTAGGAACAGTATTTGGCAGCCCTGGTCGAAAATAGTCAAGGCTCGGGTTTTCCCATCAACGCGTTGTTCATCCACCTCTCTCTTTTCAACGGCATACTGAATGGAGAAAAAGACCAGGAATCTAACGCTACCAGGCTTTTTGTAACAGGTTTTTGTCAATTTTTGTGACACCCAGAACCTACGCAAGGAAATGCACTAGATAGAAGTTCAGTCGATGGGATGCATTCTTCCTCGTTCATTCCGGTGCAGCTAAAGTGTGTACATTCACTTGAATCATATGGTAAACGAGGGATTCTTCTGTGATCTAATTTATTACCCCCTTAACATCAACGGAACTTACATTTGAGCACCTATCATCAGTTATGTACACTTTGGTGTTAAACTAGAACATAAGGTTGACAGAAATCCGGAAACTTTGCCTGTCTGGTGAGCCCTAAGCAGAGCGAAACCGATTGCGGGCTTTCGGAGGGTTTTCAACAAACTTGTGAGTGGTTTGTTCCCTCTGGAAAATGCACTCAGATATCTCGAACTGAAACATGAAGCACCTTTGAACAGTATATTTGGTTGAAGAATATGCTCATCCAAAAATCAGCTGATTCTGTCGTTCACACCAAATTTTTCTCAAATGATTGTATTTCACCGTCGTGCGGTTAATGATATTGGACCATCTAATCATTAATTTGTTCCAGTTTGCAGACTTTTCCAGTTTAGAGATGTTTTGCCAAAGCCGACGGAAGCAAAATAAAGCATAGGAAATATGGTCTAGACGTAACTACTTGTTGTTTGCCTGCATTGCCACAAAATTCATCATCATCGATAGCATGACATCAGTGTTCAACACCGATGCTTCACTGCCGTAGAACCATGATTTATTTGAAGGCCTCACTGTGAAGAAGAGAACAGTAGATGGGGAAGGGACTTAATGCTAGCCTACGACAATCATTCCAGGGTGCCTACACTTCCAAACAATCATTCAAGCAATCTGGATAAAGAATGACAAGAAGCCCATTGACATCGGTTGACAGCAGTGTCTCCAACCAGGCGCAGTGGGGGGTCACGCGGGCCCACCGTGGAAGGCGAGTAGCACCGACAAAAAAGTCGAATAAAAAAACTATTCAGCTGTAGCACCCTTTCATTACTTAAATGCCATGCCACCCGAAGGAAACATGAGAGCTGGGATACTGCCAGGTTGCCCAAGCTTAGACGGGAAGTCGAGAGGTGGAGATCGGGTTTGAACCACAGACCTTCCGATCAGTGAATTCGTGCGCTAACCAATGAACCATCTCGCAACCAAACGTTTCATAATCTTCTTTATATTTCTCTGCCAGATCAAGGGTTGATCACCTCTACTTCCTCCACTCTGTATTGGGCACGGAAAACAGTACTCTCTTCGGCAAACGATGGCTAGGCATACGCAACACATGTCCCAACCAACGAAGCTTCGGGTGCTGGACCCATTCTTCAATGGAAGTACCCGTTGCACAACCGAAAACTCGTCTTCTAATTATCTCGTTGCGGATTCTCCGACACCAACCCACACGAGCTATGATCCTGAGATAACGAAGACGTCTCAGTTCCGCTGCTCGAACGGGCCTGTGCTCACAACCATATAACAAAACATCTTGTAAGTGGCGTCTTCAGTGACTGCATATCCAGGAGCATGGTCTTACACTTTGTGGGTGCAAAATGCACACCAAAGGACAGGATGACTTTGGTTAATTCATCCAAAAACACCTGCTCCTTCTGCTCCTTTTCGAACATGAGAACGATGTCATCTGCATATTCCAGATCGACAAGGTTTTCTTCACAGGCTATTTGAACACCAGGGTTTTGGAGACCCTGCAGCGTTCGTCTCATTATTTCATCGATCACAAAGTTAAAAAGGAGTGGAGAGAGTGGGCATCCCTGACAGACACCGCTTTGTGTACGGAAGCCTTTGGAGAGCCCGCCGTATACCCTCACAAACTTACTACAAACTTGCTTCAGACCTATAGTTTGTTGCCCGTGATATTCGGAGCTTAACTTTTATTTGCTAATGCAACACTAAATAAGTGACTAGGAGTTGTTCCTTGGTGTTCTTTTGATTCTTTGTTTTTGCCCTAATAGTCTCCAGTGAAAGTTAATGTAGTATCGTAACGGTTTTCGGCAGTTACCGTAACTCCTAGCGTCAAAGTTTATCTGTAAAAAGTGCATATAATCCGTAGAAACAGGTTTGGTGGCGGCACTGCTCTATTTGACCGCTTTGTGCCTCGTGCAACCTGCTTGGATTTTGTGGCCTTGGGTACCGATTAGATCGGAGGCCTGTGGCGAAATAGCAAACTAGCCACGCACGCTGTAGTCCAGTTCACCCACAATATGGCCTATGCATCCGAAAGCGTTTGCTGTTCCGCCCAACCTTTCGATTCCGTGTGCGTGTGTTTTTGTGCATGTTCACATGCTTGATCGATTCTCGGTTTATCTTACCGGTCCCGCCCGGTCCTGTGCTATGGTAAGGACCACTCATCGGATGACCTGCCAGCCAACCTGCGCTGCCCAGTTGTTCGATCAGAGCCTTATCCCAGTAGACTTTCGGCCCTGTGCAGATTTAAAGCGTTCTTCTCTCTGGACTTATAATTCTACTTTTGTTGATTAGCAGAATCACAGTGGCAAGTCACTGTCTCTGATTGTCAATTTGAAACGTGGGATATGCGGCTGAATCACTCGGTTGCTCAACACTAATTATGCCGGAGGAGCATTCTCATATGACGATATCCGCTTAGTGGACCACGAAAGCATTTCTGGAAAGCAGTTGCACAGCAGATGTGACTGTTTGATATATACATTTGGGTCTCTGTCTATTGGGAACATGGCTCCAAATTTCTAGCACTGTCAGTACACTGCTTCCTCCAAAAGTAAATTCCAAGGAAGTTTACAACCTATGTTTATCCGGGAATGACTGCACTGCAGCGTTTTGCCAAGTCGCTAGCGGTGGTTGAATCCGCTGTGTTCGATGGGCCCCCGGTCAACAGCATACTTTGCGCTGTACGAATGAAAGCTGGCTTTAAAGCGCTAAAATCAAGGAGAAGCCGTACTTCTTTGTAGTGGTTACGTATGCCCCAACCGATTGCAGTGGTGGTACAGAGAAAGACGAATCTTAACGAGAATGGTATTGTGTTGCAGTGCATTGTATTCGATATGTTAATAGTTTTTGCATCTCGTATTTAAGATTGGTTCTAGAAAGAATTCTAGCAAACCGTACTGAATTTTGCCACACAGTTCTGGGTGGCATACGGCTTTTAACCCCTTCATTTCACCACTGTTCGTTTTCTCCATTCTCCTCTTTATATGTATTGTGCCGGCCTTGGACCGGCTGTCCGAGCTTATTGTTTTCACTCCTGCTTTTCTCCTGCTCTAGTAGGTATCACCGATTTGACCTGACATCAAATGTTGATGTTATCATTGGGTTACAACTGACTTCTTAGGCGGTAACTTCATTTGCATAGCAATATAACCTTGGGGTTGTGGCAGACTTAGATATCCGAACGCTAGTGTTACGTAACTGTTCTCCCAACCCGTGGAGTAAGCTGGTGAATGGCTCCTAGTCACCCATACCTAACAATTCCACGAGACCTAAGATAAGCAAGTGAATGTCGAACGAAAATTGATATATGGCTTCGTAACCAGTGCACGTATTTGGGTATGCGCATATTTTTGACATGCTTGACCACCCGTACGCCCTCACGAGGTCTCATGAGCTGAACTGACACACGTAACACGCTAAAAGCAGCTGGAGCGAACGAATCGGCTGTTGCATTGGAGTTTTCGTTGTGCACTGTATTTGTAGAGGAGCGAACGAATCGGCTGTTGCATTGGTGGAGTTTTCGTTGTGCACTGTATTTGTAGGGAAGGTTTACTTATCCAAGTTTTTGCGGGAATCCTCTCAAATGGTAGACTAGTTTCTCTGAAATCACTACAATATAGTGTTGAATTGGGGTTTGTAAAAGACCACACATGACATCGTGTTAGGCGCCAGATCCACCGAAGATTCGGTCTTAGTTAGTTTGCACTCCAGCGTCCAGCGCTTGCAAGAAGATGCGCGCATGCTCTGCTTCGGTTTTCGCAGTCAGTTCGCTGCATGCAATCTTACCAACGGATTTGGATACTCTAAGGTTTCAGGCCACGGATTGACAACCGGACCTGGTGACCAAAATTCGTCTGTCCTAGGTAATTAGTCGATTTTAGTTTCGTGGTCTTGATATAGTCTCTTTTTCTGTCACTCAGATATAGCAAAAAGGAAACAGTTAGCCCGTGCAAAGAAAGGACGCGTTTGAGGATACGCGGAAAAATGATAGCTGAAAGGATGAAGGGAGTGGTCTTCCAGTATTTCAGATTTTCTGTTGGGTTTCCGAAGTTTCACTATAAGGGAACTAGTTAGTTTTTTGAAATTATAAAGACCCGTCGATCACGAAGGGAGAGGATTCTGAAGGTAGGCGTGACAATAAACAGGAAGACCCGTTCACTGATGAGAATTTCGGTGACATTGGAAAATAGATCGCCATAAGTACGGTCACTGGACAGAGCACTCGTGTTCTATTTCTTTCCCTGTGCTCAGGTCCCTGTTTACAAAGCCAACTTTTGATCACTCTGCAAACCAACATACGCTTGTTGTTTTACAGAATATTCTGATCCGTGTGGGTCCTTTCGTTCCCTCCGAACCCGATGGTCTGGATTCTAAGAATTTCCCTGGTCACTTAGTCTACGGTGTTTCCGGCGGCCAGAATGTGGTTGTCTCCGACGCGGCGTTCGTGCGCGATTGTCCTGCACATTCTCGATCCAGACGACCTTGTTCAAAAGTGCCACTAACCTACAGCCAGAGACAGGCTGAATTTTCCACAAACGGTCGGAGTCTGTCGCCAGTTTGTATGGCTGTCGATCGCGAACAAATGGGTGGTGATATCAGCTCTTCCTCAACTGAGTGCGGTGGTCCGATCACTATGCAAAACGGTGACCCGTCAATGCTGGAGCAAACGAAATTTGCAAAACATTGTTTGCTTTCCCTGCCTATCGTAGAACCGGTCTGGAAGCGGCTCGCCTGGTCTAGCGCTCTGTTTCCACCGGACATCTCTCCCAGTTATACCGCTGTTGTTGCTGATCTTGGTCTGTGTTTGGATCTAAGTCAGTAAGTTATTATTGCTGAATTCAGCACTTCTTTCGATACATTCCTAGCACTCTTTCTCATCTCGGCAACCGGCTGTCTTGGTGGCTCTCTCTTCCGAACTTTGAAGCTCCCTGTAGACCTGATGCCTGTATCTGGAAAGTTTACCGTCTTCATATCGTCAGCTTTAACGAAACCAGTGTGTATTTGACGAAACGTAGCTGCATTCCTGTATATCCATCAGTGCATGAACCGAATTTCACGGAAAGATGACTCATGAGTGAGGAACAGTAAACGCTCAGAATACATATCACGTGAAAGAACTGGATCACCGAAATCTGATTTCTGACGGATTCAGTCTAGTCTGCTTTTTTCTGAGTTTTGTCACATAATCATGTGATGATGTTGGTGAAATGACAATGATGCCTTCTAAGGAAAAACCGGACTTGAGTCATTTGACTGGACCCCTAATTACGTCAGGGTTTCTACACGTATAGAATTATTAGTTTGTTGGAGGTAGTTGGGTGTCAGTCGTCGAGACATTAGGGGACGTGCCAGACTCCACAAATGCCAACGTGTAAGCAACTAGAAATGTGGTATGATTTCATTCAAGAGCATTGATGGAATGACATTTGTCAGTTTCGTTTGCTCCACACAGAGGTGTTTGGTGATTTTCGAGCTAGATTCACTAAAAAGCCGCCATTTGGATGACTCTGCAGAGTCCTTTCTTGCCCATTTTCCGGAGTTGTTGGGTCACGATTCCCGTCGCTCACTTGTCGGTGATCTGACGACTGCCATCCCCCTCCCCATTCCTGTTGGTTCGAATAATGGTGAGTTTCTGGCAATTCTCTACGCTAGATCGCGCCACAGAGAGCTCTCAGAAAGTGGCAAGAAGCTGTTTGTGTCTAGTAGTTCGCTGCAACAGAATTAGCTTGCTTTACCATAGCGAACGCTTGTGAGAAAATGCCATTTTACCCATCCGTGTTTAATTAGGCTTGTAAGATTATTGTTCACGGCATAAGAAGCCTTTTTGTGGCTGGTGTCCGTTTCTTGCGCGTTCGCAAAGATGGAGCAAGAGGTCCATTAAGTAGTCTTCTCAATATCCTGAGTATCTTTAACCTTTTGTTCAGCTCACCGCTTGACAACGGCGTAACCGAGGATCCACGTTAAGTTTGATTGCAGTGTAATCGATGAGAATAAATAAGTGGCCCGTTGGAGTGAGAACACTGACGTTATCCGCCCAAATCAATGAACAGACAAGTTGAGCGAAGATGACCTTTTCAGTATCATTTCTACCGGCTCAGACATGTATACAACGAGCAGAATCGATCATGACAGTGAATTATTTCAATGTGCTCAAGATGATAAGCAATATTTAAGACTGCGAAGACTCGTATAGGTTCGGCTAGTCATGTGAGGCTGATAAGTCCGGTCTCATAATACTCAATATCTGTCGAAATAGTTTCTGAATGCGAAGCTTAGGTTTAAAAAATGCGGGTGTCAATTACTTTTGCGATATAAAGAAGCCTAGTTCTTATAATTGTGGCGTCTTGTCTCGTACTTCATTCATTGGCTCAGATACAGTTCATGGTCAATTGCATGTCTATAACAGGATAAACCTGAATGAAAGAAAACTGCGTACTTCATATCGGACGCTGTGTTCTGAGGCATGCACTTTGACAGTTGGATCAAACCCAAACCTCATGCTTACGGACGAGCCTAATTTGTTTACCTGGGCAGTTGTATGAGTCCCAGTTGACTGGCTAGAGATGAGGCTACTTCTCGAATCGGGAAGGCCAGGACAGCTTTTGTGGACATCCGACACCTATGGCGCTGAAGTGACGTGGGTTAATCTGTCAGCGGCAGAGTTCACACCGCAGCAGTGTGATCCATACTGCTTTAGGGACCGAAAATGTGGCCTCTACATGCATAGAACATACGAAAGATGTCAGTGTTTGACCATCGGTGTCTCCCAAGCGTTGTTCGGGTCTGGTGTGAACATTATGTTAGTAATGCCAAGGCACGCCAGATTGTCCCTGGGAGAAGGAACTCTCCCGCGATAGATGAATTGATCACCGGTTAGTGCATGTACTCCTCATGCCAGAAGACCGTCTACCTCAAAAGTGTCTTTTCGCCCAGCCCTGTGCCGAATGGAAGCAACTGAGAGGTACACAGTTTATGACCTGGCAACGTAATATGAAAACTAATCAGTTAACTTAATCGGGTCAACAATTGCCGCCTTCCTGGATGGGGGATCCCTGAACTCAACTCACTGGCAAAAACAACCCAATCACGCAGTCAGTGGCACTCGTGCCTCAAAACTATCACCTTCAAGGCGCAGCTACCCAGTTTATGAACTAACGAAACATGCTATTGCCTCCAAGGCTTGGCTGTATTACCTACACGTTCCCTATTCCCGGTGATCAAAACTGTAGCAGATTGGACCAGTTTGCTTATGGTACCCAGTTTATAGCTGATAAATTGATTGATTGTTGATTGATTGATTGATTGATTGATTGATTGATTGATTGATTGATTGATTGATTGATTGATTGATTGATTGATTGATTGAATTGATTATTGATTGATTGATTGATTGATTGATTGATTGATTGATTGATTGATTGATTGATTGATTGATTGATTGATTGATTGATTGATTGACTGACTGACGTATATGTTTCCGCCACTCTGAACTGAGCACGGAAAACACCACTCTCGTCGGCAAACGATGGTTCGGCATGCACACTACATGGCCCAACAAACGTACTTTCTAGTGCTGAACACATTCTATAGTGAAAGTTCAAAAGCATGACCTCACGCTTTCTGGGTACAGTGCGCATGTCAAAGGATGAGACTTCATGTCTCTTCCCCTTCGAAGACGAGAACGATGTCGTCCGCATGTTTCAGGTCGACCAGGTTGTCGTCAGCCGCTGTTTGAATACTGCGATATGATCATAACTTATATAGTGCAGTTCGAAGGCATGATGAGAAGATGCATAGTTGGGAAAATCGTTCAGTTGTTCAGCTGGTGCCTAGCTGCCATGCCACCCGAAGGAAGCACAAGGGCTGGGATACTGCCGATTTGCCCAAGCCTAGACAGGGCAAGTCGAGAGGTAGGAGTCGGGTTCGAACCGCGGACCTTGCGGTCAGTAAATTCAATTCACGCTCATTTGAGCCATCTACATAGTTGGAACGACCGATCGAAACTTATGATGAACATGCTTTGCCGTGTTTTAAAATCCTCAATTTAAAACTGTCGTGGTAAGGCTGCAGAACCCTGGTGGTGAAGTAGTTAAATGAACTAAGCGACCTGATGCAGGTTTAGTTTCCGGTAGGAATGTGTAACCAGGTTTCTGTGTATACCGTTCGTAAACGGTCTGTTTTTTTGGTGAGCAGTGTACACAGTTTCAAAATACCTTGTTATCGCGCGTCAGCTAATCCCCTGTTTCCAGTGAAATTCAGCTGACACACAGAGGCCCTGTTTTCCGGAGAATTCAGTGACTTTGGAAAGGTTGACCTCTATATTAGTGCGATATCCTAGCTTGTCTCAACTACGCTGGTATGATACTTCAGATTAACCGTATCAAAAATATTGCGAAAGGTCCGCCCTCAAGGCATATTGTACGTTGTGTAAGGATTCTTAAAATCAGTCACATCCACCAGATAGAGTTTTGATCGATTCGGTACTGTTTCGTAGTTGTGGCTTGTCAGGTGCCCGACTATCATCCAGTAGTCTTCTGGAATATCGTCTGCATTCCAGCATGGTTTGAATCGCGTGATGCATTGAAAGTATTCGGGACGCGCAACTCGTGAGGGCCGTAATTCACTACTAACACGGTTGTCAAGTTTGTCTATCGTTTCTGCAGTTTAGCACATGATGGTTATATCTGATTAAGTCTTGCTTGTAGTTCCACTATATTTTTTCCTCGTATCCTTTTCTAAATTAACCAGGCTCTTCAGACCCTGTGAAAGAATATCATATGGAGAGTTTCGGATACTGCCCTCTGTGTCCAGAACACTGAGGTTTCTCTAGACTAAACCGTTCGTCGTCTTTACTGTTTCTGCTCTCTAGTCAAGTGGAAGCTCCCATAAAATAGGGTTGGGTACGTGTTCTTACCACTGAAAACATTGTGAAATAACGGCTCTTAGTTGACTAACAATCGTGGTAATTTGTTTTACTGAAACCCTTTAATAAAAATAATAAGGGAAAAGGCAAGAAAAGGAACCGTGGACATCCGAGTTGCCCACACGTCGTATATCTGACTGTACTTCTTGTAGGGATTTTTGGCAGGTGGCTTGTGTGAATCAACTTGGCGAATAGGTCAAATGTACGACTGGAAGAGCATGTTGCAGCGTTCCGGGCACTTTTTCCAGCACATCGGCCCCATAAAGTGAATAAGAAAAGATTGTATTTGGCGGTTGCGCTAACTTTGCTTCAGTAGCTAGGTCTAGTTAACTCGTTTGTGTGAAAAATTGTAGAAGAACATATGATCTGATCCCAAATAGATTTTAATGAACACACGACAGGTAGTGAGTTTTCGATACTACCGACCATTGTTGAGGATATGACTGGTTGTTATGGGAAATTTCTTCATATTTAGGGGGTGCCATATGACCAGGCGTTCTTGATCACTGCAGGTAGAATGAACAATCGGAGAGGTCGGTTCATTTTCCCGGGGGGATACCGGTTGGGTGGGAGTTTTGACACATGCGTCGAACGAATCCCACATAGCCGACGCTTATCTTGGCTGATAAGCGTAGAACCATTCTGGCCACGATTAAGCCGCCTGTGGCGACTTCTGGATCGCGAGGAAGCGAAAAGAAGCTGACTAGATTTTCATAAAGGAAAATATTCCCAAGATTACTGAAAACTCTTCGGCATTCGCACATTCACTTGAAGAACAGCATAGCCGAGAGATTCATTTGGGTCTCCTGTGAGAACCACAGTGATTTGCAAAGGAGTGTATTTGTCGAAAGCTGACTAGATGTTCAATCTGACGGGGTTGTGCGTGTCTTTCACTCGCAGTTCAAGTGAATAACAAACATCAAAGCGAATATAGTGTGGCTTACGAACGGTGGTGTCCAGTTTTTTAAGGTGACTACTAGAAACAGCGAGGTGAACTAGGCTTGCAAGTCTGAAGATTGATTTCATTGTGCTGGGCGCTGAACGAGGCTAGTGCGGTTGACACGAGCAGGGCTTTTGTTTCCCAGTCATAGGCTTATGAAGATGAGAGCTGGCTCAATGGTTAGAGTGCGAATTCACTGATCGGAAGGTCTTTGGTTCAAACCCGATCTCTGACTTTTGAATTCCTCTGTATGGGTTTGGGCAAATTGGCAGTATCCCAGCCCTGTGGACGTCCAGAAGCTGTGACACTGCGGTAGAATCTAGTCCCTCTGTGGCGTTTTCCGCTCATGATTCGATATAGGCGGAAGGCCTGACAAAACAATGGAAAATCCAGGGTGGGTTTGAAGATAGACAACACATCTGGTTTTTCAGGTCCCCTCTATCATTTAAACTTTCGCGATCTGGAAAACGCTTTAAATCGTTTATGTGTTTCTACTCGATTTTCTCATATCTCGTTGGTTATGCAGTGTGATGACTACATGGCTTCCGTGTGTTTGCAGGCCTAGTAGGGTTCGATCTAGATGCATGTGTTGATTTGGTTCTTCACTCATCCCGTCCTTAACTCTCTTCCGATTCCTTGTGTATTGTAGAAGTNGCAGTGTCCTGGTCGGAAATCCTTATTACATCGCACCTGAGTGCCTCAACCGAATCGCTCCGTACACATTTGCGGCCGATGTTTTCTCCTTTGGTATCCTAATTTGCGAATTGATCACTCGATTGGTCAACGACGGTGCACGAATACCGCGGACGAATGTAAGTGTAAACTTTTCACATTTAAGCAACACTGAGAACCTCATCAATACTCATCAGCTGCGCGCGTTCCCATCAGAGGACAGTCGCAGACCGTTAACGTCATGACCACGGGTCTATCACTGGTTGGTGATTACCTGATTCTCAATGGGGCTCGGGGACTGCGCACACCTGGTGAGCCCCAGAAAGGACCAAACCGGTCGTGAACTTTCGAAGTGTTTTCAGCAATTTTACGAGTAGTGTGTTACGTTTATACGATGTATTGCTATTCTAACGTATCATGCCAACTAAAAAATCAGGTGGCCTGATGCAGCACATTCAGTTGTTCAGGAACATGATAAGCAAGACATTCAGCTATGATTCAGTTGCGTAACCCATGAAAACCAAACTGTTATGCATGCGAGTGTATATCGCCAATTCCGTGCAATTCGGGTTCAAGTAGAACATAAGGTTCCGAGGAACTCGTGACAGTTTTATAACCAATTCCTTGTTTACCTGTGGGATTGTTTTACCCAGGGCAAGTGATTGTTGTGTATCATAACGCTTAATACTTGCATACGGGTCTAAAAGTGATCCCCAGAAACGACTAGCTGGTGTTTCCGACAGCCCTTCTTGTTGTCCTTGGGCTCACTCTGATGGGTCGTAAAACAACGCATCTGACACGTACCACCTATTCGTTTCGTTGCTGAGCCAGCTTGGTTCCGTTTGGGCTAATAGTACTACGTGTGTGTTCATTAAAATAAGGCATCATTCACGTGTGGTAAATGAGGGCGTCACCCGTCAGTCACTCGGATATCACGATGCCGTGTCTTATGAGTTTAACTAGACAAGAGTACATTCTCTGTGTAAGGGCGTGACAGGAGCTGTACACGTGGGTGGCATGTCATCACAGTGACTTTTGGAGAAGAGCCGTGTACTAAGCGCCATAGTGCATGTAATGCAAATGAATGCAGAGTACCGAGGGTGCGAGTTGTTGTAATGAGGATATATCACATCACTGCTTGTATAAGGTAAAGAAAGATTTGACGGGAAGCAATGTGGACGTTACATGCTTGTGGTGCATGACCTCCACGGGACAGGAATTAGAATAACAGGCACCGCCTAAGTAAGAGCCATCAGGGAAACTGGGAGCAACTACTTGTTTGGGCAAGCATCGGTTTTACTGGCAGGATGTATCTTGTGAAAGCAAAATATTACCGTTTCTCTGCGTTTCGGAGTGTGTGATCGCGATACAACTTACTTGCCTGGAGTGCATGTTGTTGAGGATAGCTACTTTCCTCACGACGTTCACCCTGAGTTCTGATCTAACCCTCCCCGAGAGACCTGTATCACAAAAGTAATTTGCAGCCTATGATTTAGTTCTAGCGGTATACCGGCGTTGCTGTGTAACTTTCCATCCTTAGTTTGATAGCACCCTTCAGTGGCAATCAAACTGTAAACTGCACAGCCACTGTGTTGACCGTACATACTTGGATGTGGTTGTATCAGTCACATGTCGCCTAGTTGATCTCGTTCTTTCTGATACTGGACATCATCGTCTTCAGTCGGTGCTCATCGTAGGTTTGTTTCGAAACCTGTCTTGTCAGATCTATTGGTCTGCGTACATACAAGCCAGTCTGAAACAATTTTGGGTTAGTGCAGGGCTTGAAGTATTATTTCCTTGATTCGCGATTCGGAGTCACTCTTTACTTTTTCTTGCTTTGGTTTAGACTGTGGCAACCTAACATTGTATGCATTTTCATGCTTTCTTCAGAAAGTATGGCAGCCGTAACTCGAAGGAGGGTAACGGCTTTGAGGTGTGTGTATGTGTGACTCAAGCGTGACTGATCTTCATTCTGATGAATGGGTTTTGACCTGTAGCGCCGTCACCTTCGTCCAAAGGTTTCTGCACTGAGCCACTCCTGATGACTAGTAGGTTCCATACATACATACATCACATACCAACTGAACAGTTCAGCATTCCGTCCACGGAGTGGATACCATAGGTACCGACCGAAATCGTACACCACACTCAGAAGTGTTGATCGAACGCGCTATCCAAGTTCGCTGTCTTAGAAATTTAATGAATAACAACATGGCTGGCCCAAATCAGACTGCATGTTCACGTGCCGTTACTTGCCGACCTCGTCTAGCCTTTCGAAAACTGGTTTGAGATCCTCGAACCATCCTTCCAGTTTCTCCGACGAAGTCGTGTGTTAGTTATTACATGCTGATTCTGTTCGTTTTCTACGCACCAAACTCTGCCGTCAAATGAAGAAACTCTACGAAATTTGCATATGCTTCTAGTTTCAGTACCTTAGCAACTGGAAGGCTCCAGAGGCCTTCAGGCCGCACTGTTTCTGTGAGTCACCTTATCAACAGATCAGTTTGAGATACGCACTGATGGAACATCTCATGCATGCTAATTCAGCACACAGCACCGCCGAAGTCAGTAATAACATTCGTAACGGTAACCCAGAGGTCATCCTTACCGCTAATAAATGAGTCCAGGCCAGCATTTTGCACTTTTTCTGCGTACGATTCACCGTGCATTATCAATCGCTGATTTTGACTGGAGTTTCAAGCTAACCTTGGCATTTGGTGTTCGTTTTTTGGGCTGTTCTGAATGAACGCTCGCTTTTTAGAAACCGGAGGAGACTGTGAGTTGTATTCACCCCAAATGGGGCGAGATGACTCAGGTGGTTAGAGCGCGAATTTACTGACCGAAAGGTCCGTGGTTCGAACCCGACCTCTGTCTCTCGACTCCTCTGTCCAGGCTTGGGCAACTTGGCAGTATCTCAGCCCTCGTGCTCCTTTCATGTGGCATCGCAGCTAGGCACCGAGGGGGTGTTACAGCTGTACGATTCACTCCAAACGCGTGACGTGTCTCCAGAATGATTACTGCCTCCGTCGAACCCAATTCGTAACGTGATTCTGGGAGATTCTTTGGCTGAGAAATTTTCACCAGCGTGTGGCAATTGGCCTCAAACTCGTGTTACGTACATTGCTGTCCAGTGTCGTGTTGAAATAATAGTCCCAGGCAATTGAACCGCATCCCCTCTATATCTGACGAATCGTAACCTCGAGCCGTCAATCTTTAGTTCGTCTGTCAAAATCTGATTCATGTAAACCTTCAGACTAACCTTCAGCTGATGTCGACGCGACAGAGCATGACCCTGTGACGGATTTAGCTCCAGACGAACTGCGCAGTTATCTGTCCGAGTAAACATTTTTTCGATTCATTTCCTCAATTATCTTAGGAAGGTATCATGAACGCTCATGTATTATATTCGGGACCATTGTTCCTGCACTGATGAGGATGTGTTCGATCTGGCTAGCTGTTAGGTCACAGACCAAAGGATCACCGCAACGCGTCCGCTGGTGTAGAATGTGACATGTCTAAACTCAGTGAACTGCATACCCTACTAACAATCCTGCTGGTTGCGAAAACCGGACATGATGTGATCAGCGCCAAAACTGTCCTTTACCGGAGGATTTCTCTCCTGCATAAACACCTCTAAGTTGTGCACTGTTATTGGGTCCCTTCGAATCTCCGTAAACGTTCTTCCTTTTGGCGACAGCAAACTTCAATTTGATTCAATGAGCCTTTAGTGAGCAGCCCCATTATCTCGCTTGCAGCGTTACGTGAATTTTCTTAAGATAAGCTTCTATTTACTAGCAAGCGTTGGTTCCAATATCCTCCGGTTTCAGCAGCAATCGCAAAGAAGTCTCATTGTATTTCCTACCTCGCTTAATTACCAACCCTTATCTGCTAGTAGACAACTACCATGCTCTGATTCCTATAAGTAGCATGCGATTCCCTAGCATGTGTTGTCGGTTCTCAGAACAGACCCGATTTCGAGCGAAGAGCCCAGCATCTTCGGGAGCTTGTATTCGAGGAAGAATGCAAGCCAGTTGCCGGTTTGGTAGAATTTTCTTCTGTGTTGTTTGTTTCTTGTAGTAAGCTTTTTAACTAGTGGGATTTTGAAGTTCGAGTACGGATTTCAGTGAACTCGGTTCAAAGAAGTACCGTAAAGCTGTTTCATCTTTCTTGGAAGCCAGCAGCAAGGCGCAAGTCGCCAGTCTCTTGAATGATCCGAACCCGAAACCCTCCGATAATAAGTTACATACTACACTAGTCAATTACGAAAGGCTGACCAGCAGCGTTTCTTTATATTCATTGACCAGCGGTGTAAATGAATTGCACTCAGCTAACACCATCAGTCAATTGCTCAGCTCACGTCACGTGACCCTGTGTTTGACTATCTCGGATGACACTAGAAGACGCACTCGACTTATGTGATTTCCCCCCATCTGGTCAGCCTACTTATGGTCGTAGATAGCGACCGGATTTTGAATTTTCATGTGGAAAAATATCAGTCCTTTTGGTGAAGTTAATCTATTCTGAAAGTCGATAATCCGCGTTTTCATCCAACCGACTGGAACCCGAGTTTCTGGAGCAAATCCCGTCAACACAGAGCCAAAACCTAAAACTGAACACTTTTCGACATGGTCAAAGGAAATTCGGAAAACCATTTTGGTCATCAAAACTTAATTGTTCACCCAAGTGGTAAGATTCATCTTGATCCTTTGTCCGAAAAAAATTGTGCAATTATTCCGACCTGAATGCACAAAATGCTATCTCCCATAAAGCTTTCTGGCTCACCAAAGTTCGATGAACCAAAAACCCTTACTTCCTACTTACTGCCACACCACTCGGCTTGTTGAACGCAGTCATCCATCAGTGGGTGCTTCGTGACTAATTTCCCTCAACATATGAGGATTTGCACATCCTCGACATTTTCATACAGATCGAGTAGTCCATTTCGAACATTTTGCGGACTTGTAGGGCATTAGTTTGTTTTCGTTACTTTCTCCATTCTGACGGTTTGCACGGTCAATTGTGAGCCGTATGAGACAGGTATTGTCTTAATTAATCGATCAGAATCACTCACTAGGATACTGGTAATGCGCCTAAACGAGCAAACTCTGTGGTCCTTGCCTGTCCATGGTCACCATTATAA